GCACCCGCAACCCACCGCACACACCGCCAGGACTACGCCCATCCATCGGACACAAACCTGCCGGCGACACACAGAATCAATCCACGTCCGGTGCCGTCGCTCTCGCAATCTGCTTGCCTGTCTCTCTGTCATACACACCTACAGCCCTGCCATACACACACACACAGAGAACACATGCAGTGCCGTCGCTAATGCCTTTTCTGTCCCTCTCCCAACCTCACTTTGTCAGATGAGGTCAGATCAGCGCCGCCAGCCGGGAGATGACGACTCGCCTGCTGATCGATATCATCTCGGCAGCACTTGGTGCACCACACAGCCACTCCGCGCAGCCCTACAGCCGCCAAAAAAGAAGAAGAGATCGCCAGCCGCTCAACCCTTAAGCTCGCGGATGCGAGGAGGCGCTCTTTCCCATTGCACTTGGCTTTGTCTGATCAGTCTGCCATCTGTCCATCGATTCATGTTGACTAGTTCACTCCATCAAGCACGCTGAGCCGCACACATCGCACCACAGCCCCACCCCCTCCTCCACGGCTGTGAGGGATCCCATCTAAGATATCATTGTGCTGTGGTAGTGTACACCGCCATCAGACAGACCCGTATGCATATCATCCGCCTCGCTCTGACAAACCGCCATCATTACGCGCACACGTCACTCGCACACAGCCACTTTGCCACACAGACAGACACCGACAGACAGCCATCCGGTACGCTCTCAAATTTAAACGTGCGGCAGGATACACTGGGCTGCACCGCCACGTAGTGTGGCTGGGTGCTTGGCACACACACCCACACCGATATACGCGCAGAGGCATGTACACGGAAACATCTGTGTACTAGGAGGTAGAGAGGGTGGTAATGCTGGCCTTGACATCCCACGAACAGACATACTCCATCAAAAGGAAGACGGGTCAATACGAACACGCCAGCCATTTCCTGAGTCCCCCCCAACACAGTCGATAAAATGGCAAAAAGAAACACCGACACGCTGGCTGAGTTCCCCTGATGACAGCCCACCCGATGAGAAACAAAAGATGGAGAAACAAACCGATCGGTCACGACGACAGAAAGGAACCCCACGACACCGACCACACGCGGCACCCAACCGCCCCTCCATCCGACCGATTGTATTTGCTCTTTCATCTCACTTTGGGAGGGCGGGCGACAAGCGTATTGAACGAACGACTCACACACATGGTCTGGGCGGGACACTCGCACACATGAATTCACACACACGCACACACGCCGTCCGTCCAGCTGTCTTGTCTTGTGCGGCTCGGTAGACAGACGGCCTGCACACACAGCACACACACATACACATGTGCTCTGACAAATCAAAATGCAAGACAGACGTGTCTCTCCGCATGTCACTCCAACCGACTAAGAGTAACGAATTGCCTCCACCTGAATGCCCCCGAAACGGGCATCGCTTCTTGTGATGGTGAAGGCGTCAATTCTCACCGCCGGCGGTGAGCAGAGATGACAGGTCGTTGTGGATCAGGTTGGCGGCAGCAGCGGTCTCCAACTCATAGGGCACTGAATGACGACAGACAGACAAGGCGGATGACACACAAGATGAACAGACGACCACCTTCCTGCACCCACTGCCTGCCTTGCATACCTTCGACGTGCATCTTTATGTTGCAAATCGACGGCAACTTCTCCGACCCCCACCCGTCCTGCGTGAGACTGAGACGACCGCAAACGCTCGAATTACCCACATGGACCCCAGCCGTTCCTCTCCCCTCTGCTCACAACTCTTGAAAACATCACAGTGCTGCTGTAGGTGCTTGATGATGGCGGGGCTGGAGGAGGGGGCGCCGGGAGGGGGGACGAAGCCCCAAATGGCATTGTCGACAGTCACAAATCTCACGTTGTCGAATGAGAGGCTCTTTGCGATCTCGATGGCCGCTTGGCTCGGGCTGTCGATGGGGTGGGTAAAGTCATGCTGGCCGATGCCGTACGCCACCTGTCCCGCCTGAAGTGCCGCCTCCTGCAGGAGATTAGCAGATAGAGGAAAGACGGCCTGGCGCTCGCGGCTTGCCGCCTCGGCTCAGAGATATCGTCGGTCGAAGACCTCAACAGAAAAGGCAATGAATACCGTCCGCATCTTCCAGTTGACACCACTGCTGCCAAAGACGTCCATTGCAAAGATCTCCATCCCTTTGCCGCTCAACGCCACTGCACCCAAATAAGCGGTCCACCCAGTCATCCCTCGAGGCCCATCTTGTGCCATCCCGTCACCCACAGCGCCAAGCTGCAATTGTCACTCAGCAAACCAACAACAGCGAACGACGACCGCCCAAAACAGGCCGTGCAGCAAAAGCGCCGTCACCGCCCAGAACAGCCGCAAGGACAGATTCCCGCATGATGCGTCCACCGCTGCAGCAAGTGCATCGCCTTGATGAAAACCTTCATCTCCGACAGGGCTCCTCAGGCGGCCCCGCGCACCCGCCAGGGCCGTGGAAAGCTTTTTCCAGCCGTTGAACTCGCTTGGGGGCTTTGTTTCCTCAGGATCGGAAGGCAGCAACTCTCAGCCCTCTCTACACCACTCTGACCGCCCCTTCCTCTACACGGCAATTTACATAGCCTCTCTTGCCGTTGATGTCCTCGGCGGTCTCCCCCTCGCTCCTCCAGCCGCTCCGTCACGGCGTCGTCATCGGCTTTCCGGTGCCGGGGTACGTCGTCAAGTCGACGTACACAAGGGCCCAGGTGTGGGGTCAGATCCTCGAGGACTGTGCAAAGGAGACCCAGAGGCACTGGGAGGCCCTGGCCATCAAAGAAAGCGGCCTGAGTGAGTGAGGCGACGAGATCACAATCATGAGCATCATGTATAGGCAGGAGGACTCTGCAGCGTATTCTCGACGGGATCGAGAATACGGGCGTCAAGCATAGCCTCACAGTCACCAAGCTGGAGTGATGGGGCAGTGATTGACGCCCGATCTTCCCTTCTCCGGGAGGGAGGGCTTGCCGGGTGACGGCGTTTCTTCTATGTGTGCGTGTGAGTATGTGAGTTTGTGTGTCTGGATGGATGGTCACTGTACTACTTGTTCCTCCCGCAGTAGGTAGCTAGTTTTCCTTCGCAAAGGTCACAGGTAGACTGACTGACTGACTGACAGACAAGTATGCGGCAAGTAGTGTGCGGCATTTTATATGTGTTGTCTGTCTGCTTGGGCGGGGGCATTTATTCTGCTTGCTGCCTCAAGCGAGCACAGGCAGGCAGACAGACAGGTCAGAGGTGCACTGGCAATGAACGAACAGGTCTCCGTGGCTGCCTGTTTGTCTATCTGTCTGAGGCAGCTCGTTCGTTGAACCACACAAACGTACATCCATCTCATGTGTGTGTGTCACGCGCGTCGGTCGATGGGGGGCAATGGAGGCAGACAGGCAGACAGGGTAGAGGAGAGAGGGACACATCCATCATGCAGCTGCAACTGGAGAGAGAGATATACAGGTGACTTCCTGCCTGTGCGGACTTCGAAGTGCGGACAAACAATGGCAGTCTCATTACGTGGTGACGAAAACATACCGACAGAGACAGACAGAGACAGACAGACATGGTGACAGCCGCACAGACAACCGGACAGACAGAGACCGCCCCTCTTTTCCATGGCTCTGCCTCGCCTGCATACGTCCTTCCTTGTGTAGCTATCTATCGCTCATTTCTCTCATTATGCCATGAATGGTGGTGTGACAGACACAAAATAAAAGGGAAGGTACGTGCCTCAGGCAGGCAAATGTCAGTTGACGTTATATCCGTTCAACAGCCGTCGAGAGAGAGGTCAACGCCATGCAGCCACACACTCACACACAGCCACAGGCAGCCAACAATAAGGACGGGCAGATATCTGTTCGCACAGACAGACAGACAGACAGACAGAGGGAGGGAGGGAGAGATAGAGGGAGGGAGAGAGGGAGAGAGGGAGGCCGGACACAGAGAAGAGCGACGGACGGGTAAATAAGCGATCCCACAGACCAATACACTTGTGCATCAGAGGCATGCAACTCTTCACCACAACACCCAGCCACCCACCCACCCAGCGAGCAATTGGGTCACGCGTCAGCAGCTGGTCTGTCAACAGAGTGAGGGGTATGATCGTCTTGCGCACACACGAATCGGCTACCGACACGATGACAGTCAGCAGGCAAGAGACACCCCCTGACAACACACACACACACATGTTCAGCCAGGGCGACATCAGCCACATGACAGAGGGTGTGCACCGCTGCTCGCCCACCAGTATTGACAAGTCGATGGATCGATCAGTCGCCGCTGTTCGCCTCAGCTGCGGCATCCTCACCTGTCGAGTGCACAGGACACACACACAAATGAAAGCGATGCAGGCCAATGTGCTGGCCTCTGTGTGCTGGTGCCGTCTTTCCCGTGTACCTCCGCTGCCCTCTCCGATGCCGCCGTCCATATCGTCACCCTCATCGCTATCGATATCACCGCCGTCGGAATCTGCAGACCACACACACAGAGAGAAGGCCCATCTTCCATCCATGTATCCATCTGTGTGTGTGTGTGTGCTCGTACCGTCGCTATCATCATCATCATCCTACAAAAACTGCTGCGGCTGCTGCTGCTGCTGCTGTCCCTCTACTAGTCCGTCGAAGACGTACGGCGCCACCGCCCCCAACGCCACACGAGCCAGCTGAGTGGTCACCGGGAAGCGGTGCTTGAACAAACCGCTCTCACACACAGCCGCCTCAGTGGTCTCGATACGCACACGCACTGCAGACAAGACAAAGGAAAATACGTGACATCTGGCCTTTAACCTCCCTCTCTCTGTCACACGAACCGTCGTTGTTTCCTGGCCTGCTGATGGTGATCCAGGCGACAAAGTTGTGGCTGCAGTCGGTGAGCACCAGCCGTCGCGCTTTGCCTTCCCAGCTCATTGTGGTCGTGCAGCCGGCCACCGGTGTGTGCGGCGACTCGGTCAGCAGGCCATCCACACGGCCGCCACCCGCAAACCTGAACGAATAACACACACACAACACACGATCAAAGACGTACCACTCCGGAGCTGATGAATTTGTGTGTTCACCTGTTGAATGTGGTCGATGTGTGATTGGTCTGGTGAGTCCCGTCGAAGTGTCGGACGACCATCTTCTTCGCAAACGACGACACTGACGCATCGGTGACGTCCTCCCCACATCCCATCCGTACTGGACGTCGGGTGCGGTCTCGTCCTTCTCCCAGTATATGATGCCCTCACGCACTGGTGGGTCGTGTGGCTGTCGGTGCTGCCGGTACATGTGGCTGGCAGCGAGAGGCGGGTCGACCTCCAGACGGAATTCATGGTCGTCCTTGATGGCCCGCAGCTCACCATCGCCGTGTTGGAACAGCTGGAGGCACCTGTCGTCGCTGAAGTGGACGTGGCGGCCGACCATCTTGAACTGTGCCAACACACGGGGAGCCGACACATACGCCTACACACACACACACACACACACACACACAGAGAGAGAATGAGGCCCTCTCCCTCCCCGCCCCTCTGTTTGCTGGCTCACCGTTTTGTTTGTGTGTGTGTTGATGTCATCGGCTGTGAGGATGACAGGCAGGTCACAGTTGCGGCACCGCCCCGCCAGCTCAATCACCTCGCCCATCTCGCCCCATGGCCCCTCCTCCACCACACACACAGCCGCCAGCAGGTCATGCACGCCGAACTGGTCGTCGTCGAACCGCAGCAGCTGTACTTGCTGCCCATTCACCGCCCGCCGCAGCCCCGCCTGTGAGCCGAGCGAGTGGCTGAGCCGATCTCTCAGCTGGGCCGCTCCGAAGAGATCTCTCAGCCACGTGCAGGTGGCCCTCAGCCGCAGGATGTCCTTGATGCTGCTGAAGAGGTAGAAGGTGCGGCGGCCGACGAAGATATACGAGAAGGGATGCTGCTGCTGTTGCTGCTGCTGCGGTTGCTGCATCTGGGCTATGATGTGCTCGACGACAGCCTGCACAGAGCGACAGAGCCGACAGAGGATCGTGTGCATCAAGCATGCTGCTCATTGGTCTGTGTGCTGCTCACCTGGTTCGATGATCAGATGGACAGATCACCATGCAGAGAAGTGAATGCACCACCACCACCAGCAGCAGCGGCAGACGAGCAGGCCGCCATCACTCCTCAACACGCCTGCAGCGATGGGCCGACAGACACAGAGAGAGAGAGAGAGATGCCAACATTGAGGCGAATGGATGAGTGAGCGCATCAGTCAGTGAGTCAGTGAGTGTTCGCCTCCCTCACTTTTGTTGAGCTGTCAGCTCAATGGCCCGTCATCTCACCGCAGCAGTGGAAAGGATGACTGATTCGAGTATTCCTCTCGCCCTCTTGTCGGTCGAGTGCGTCAACTCTCACAGACGCACAGCTTTATGACACGGCACAGACGCCGCATTCGCCCTCTTGTAGGGTTGAAGGGTATGAAACCCTTTGACCCTTCGAACCCTGAAGCTCATCGGTTCTCCAGTGTTTTGGCCTCTTTCGGCTTGGTGCGCAGCCCTCTGACGGCCCTGTGCCGAGATCTGTCCTCCGGCGTCCACTTTGCCTTCTCAGCTGAGGTCGGCAATACACACACGTGGCGACTCCCGCACATGAGTGACTGAGTGAATGAGTGCGGGACGGCTGATGCCTCGCAATGATGGAAGACGGCTGCTTGTCATCTCTCTGTGTGCTGTGCTGCAGATGTCTGTCTGTCTGTGTGTCTGTCTGTCTGCGGCCGTCATGACGCCGGACACTGCTGCAGCTGAGGGCCGTCGACTTCACTAGAACACCACACACACACACACAGGGATGTGCCACGGGGACCGGCCAGAATCAGCCGGCTGTCTGTGTGTCGTTGTGTGGCATGCAGCTGTGCGGCAGCGCATCTGCCACTTCACCACCGACACGCAGCGCCGGCAATCTGGGCGTTGTGGTGCTCTCCCTCTCGCCATAGCAGCGGCGTGCGTGCAATGGGGTCCGAGGGACTTCTAGGAGACCTATTTGACGCCAGGTAACGTGCAGCTGTGCACAGGCACAGAACAGCCATCAGATAACAACATGCGTGTGTCTGCCTGTGTGTGTGTGTGTTGTTTGTGTTAGGCCGAAGGAGAGGCCGCTCGATGTGAACAAAGAGTGGGAAGCCATGAAGAAATGGGTATGTCTGTGATAGGTGCGGCAGCGGGACATCTTCGTGCACGATGGTACGTGTCCACACGCCCCTGTCTAACTCGGTCCATCCAAGTTAGGTCCATCCGTATGTGTGCAGGTATGTATCGCCCTGACGCCCCCGACCGGCGTCATTGCACCCAGTCGCTCGAGAAGGACACCCTGCTCATCCAGGTGACCATCAAGAACCACCTCACGCAGACAGACAGACAGACACACGCGCACAGCCACACGGATCCGTATGCACACACACATGGCACGTGTGTGCGTGTGTGTGTGTGTGTCCGTTAGATCAGAGTTGCCTGGGAGAGTGGAGGCCTACCTGAGTACTCACAATGTCTTCACGCGTCTATCGTCTATGGGACCGCCGCCACCTTTGCACGTCGGTGTGTGTGTGTGGTCTGCAGCTGCAAGGTACCCCTACAGCAGAGGGATGGGCGAGGAGGGATACGACGGACACAAGCAGACAGGCAGGCACGGGCAGACAGACAGGTCAGAGGTGCACGGGCAACCAACGAACGAACTGGACCAAACAGACGTACATCCACACTCACCCCAGACCCAAAGGCACCAGACTGTCACGGGTGCCTCTTTTTCGATTTGGCTCGATTTGCCCCGCTCTTTGTGTGTGATTTGTCGTCGTTTGGCTGCCCTGCGTGTGCTGGTTGTAATATGTGTGTGTGTGTATTATCTGTGAGTATCTTGTTTGGTCTGTCTGCCCCGCCAATTTGTGAGTGCGTCGTGTGGCTGGTTCCGCTCATGTGTCGTCTGCCCGGGCGCCCGAGTGACTGACTGTACGGTATAGCTTTCCTTCCATCCACCACTCATCCCTATCCTCTGCTCCCAGCACACACACACGAGGGCTGGCCGGCTGGGCTGGATCACACACACACACACAAGGACAACATACAGGGAGGCAGGTGTGGGTGTGCATATGGTGCTGTATGCCGCAACAGACAGACAGACAGACAGACGGACAAAGACTTTGGCTGGTTGGTCGGATGGGTGCTGCCTGTGGTGTCTGTCGTGGGTTTCATTATGTCGTCGTCGGTCAATATTTTCTCAATCTTTTGTTTTTAATGTGTTGGGCGTCGGGGGCACTCAGTGTGTCGGTCGACTGTGCTTATGGGCGATTGGGCGAAGTCACGGAATGGTTGGGGTGTCAGCTGTCATCCGTCATCTTTTTGGAGAATGTATGTGTGTGACACAGGTGGATGGATGGCTGGGTGGCTGTCGTCGTTTGTCGGTCTGTCTTTTTGTCACCGCACCGCATTCCCTCGCCAGTCAGTCAGTCAGTCCCCTGCTGCTCTGACCTTGCCGCTCCTCAGGAGTAGCGGGGGATCGATGGGCAGCGGTGGACGGGCCGGGCGGGGCAATGCAATGCAATCAATGCATTGCATGTTGTGTTTGGGTTGATGCCCCCACACCCGTCGTACTACAGCCAGTCAGTCAGCCCATTACTGCTTTTGCCTTCCTCTGGCCGCTTCCTTGGCGAGCTGAGGAGACGGGCAGGAGTGGACACAAATACAATCGGTCGGATGGAGGGAGGGTTGGGTGCCGTGTGTGGGTGGTGTCTGTCGTGGGGTTCATTTTGTCGTCGTCGGTCTATCGGTTCGTTTCTCCGTCTTTTGTTTTCCATTGACTGGGGGGGCAGGGGAAGTCAGTCAGCGTGTCGGTGTTTCTTTGACCTTTTGTCGACTGTGTGTATGTGTGTTGGGGGGGACTCAGGGGATGGCTGGCGACTTCGTACTGACCCGTCTTCTTTTTGTGCGTGGGATGTCAAGGCGAGCATCACCACGTGTGACAGCCAGCCCATCGACCACCCAATTAGGTACTCAGTCAGTCTGTTTGTCTGTCTGTCTTGCCCTCACCTCGCCCCGCACACCCACACATAGCCAAGCCCTCTGATTGATACATAGCCAGGCCAAGCCAAGTTGAGCTGTTTTTGTGTGCATGCCGTCTGTGTGTGGGTGTGTGCCAAGCACCCACCCTCCCACACTACTCGCTCTCAGACAGAATCAAGGGGGCGGTGTAGTCTTATCTACTGCTGCGTCCGCTTTGGCTCTCTGTCGGTGTCTGTCTGTCTGTGGCAGGGTGGCTGTGTGTGAGTGACGTGTGCGCGCAATGATGGCGGTTTGCGAGAGCGAGGCGGATGATATGCATACGGGTCTGTCTGATGGCCGGTGTACATTACCACACACACTGATATCTTAGATGGGATCCCTCACAGCCATGGGAGGGTGGGGCTGTGGATGCGATGTGTGCGGCTCAGCGTGCTTGATGGAGTGAACTGGTCAACATGAATCGATGGACGGATGGCAGACTGATCAGACAAAGGAAATTGCGACCAGCTCACAAATCCGCGAGCTTAAAGTCTTAGTGGCTGGCGATCTCCTGTTCTTTTTGGCGACTGCAGGGCTGCGCGGAGTGGCTGTGTGGTGCACCAAATGCCGCCGAGATGATGTCGATCAGCAGGCGAGTCGTCATCTGCGGGCTGGCGGCGCTGATCTGACCTCATCTGACAAAGTGAGACTGTGAGAGGGACAGAAAAGGCATTAGCGACGGCACTGCATGTGTTCTCTGTGTGTGGCTGTGCCGTGGACTGTAGGTGCTGACGGTCGCTGCCTGCCGGCTCAAGCTGTGCGTTGAATCCAGCAGCCGTGGCAGGTTGATTGCCTCTTCCTCACGCTGAGTGAGAGCGGCGTCTGTCCATCAACGGTCAGACCAGCCATAGCAGTCCGGGTGTGAGGGAGATCATGCCGTCGTATTGGTACTGGCGGCATGTGGCTGAGGATGGCGTCTGGCGCTGGCGGTCCGTCAGACACGAGGTCAGCTGAATGGATGATGACAGCACTCGAGAGGCGGCTCCCTTGATGCAGCCGCCGCAACAAACGTTTCTTTCTCTGCTTGGTCTGTGTGCAGGTGAGGATTGCTGTGGTTCCGGTTCCTCAGGAGGGCTGGTCCTACCGACTCACTTGCGGACAGCCACCCACAAAACACGACAAACAGGTCGGTGGGAGGGAGGGTGGCAGAGACAACACACCTGGCTGCATTTCTCTCGTCCATCCCCTCTGTGTGTGTGTGTGCCGTCAGCCATGGCATCGTCTGTCCCGCGATGAACTCATGTGCATCTTCGGCTACCTGTACCCATGGGAGCTCGAGCGGCTGGACACCTCGCTGGGCGCCCCGCTGTTTCTCCTCGCCCCCGCCCACTACTCACACCTCTCCATCGATGCATCCGATGACGAGGCCGCTCGCATCTGGACGGCCATGCGTCACCGCAACCAAGCAGGGCGACCTCCCCTGTCTGAGAGGGAGAGAGGGCGGCCTTTATCGCCGCTCTCCTCCATGTGCACTGGCTCGGGGGCAGCGGGCGTGTGGCTGGCCGTCGTGGTGGGGTGCGTCGGTATTCTTTATGTGTGTGTGTGTGTTGTGTGTCTGGATGGATGGATGGA